AAAAAAACACAAAATATAAAATGAAAACAAACATACATATATGTAAAGATTTCATTATTTTACAAATCATTAATGTCATTATATTTGAAAATGTTACGACTAATTAATTTGGTCAAATAGTTGTCTTCTATAGATGATTAAGTTATAATATGACATTATACAAAAATTAAGATACATTTATATTGAAGCAAATACTTTTGTAATGTGATAAACATGTGCAACAGATCTATTCCCTTTAATTATTTTTAGTATTCCTAATGTTTCAAGTTTATGTTTTGTTTCATATTTTATGTACTTAATTTAGCCAATCTACATAAGAAAAAATCCATAGTTATATGAAATTATTTTTCTAACACAACACATTAAAAATTAAACTAAATTTACGTAATAATTTATGTATATTATCTTAATATATTTATATAGATACATATATAAAAAAAAAGTAAGAAAATAGAATGAGAAAAATTATTATTTACTCCAAATAAATCTTAATATGTAACATGGTGACTTATTATTGAACTCTCATAGTGGGTAACACAATGAAAAGATAAATAAAAAATGTGTGTGAAGTTAGTTTCTTAAAAATTTATTTAACATGAAATACCACATGCTAGTTCATTTTCCCTGCATTAGTTTGAAATACATTAAGTTGAAAAAATAGAAATATAAAAAAAGAGATCAACAGCTATTTCAAAAACCAATTACAGGACATTGAAATGAAGAACTAATGGGTTGCTTAATAAATCATAAGTGTATTATATAAATTGACATCCAAAACCCGAAACTAATCAAAAAATTGCATCTATTAACCAAAATAAAATATCCACTAAACTAAAAATGGATAAAAAAATTACCCAAAATATAAAACGAAAAGAAATGTTTATATAATTAAGGAACAATTACTACTCTCTTATTAAATGGACTCTTAACAAATGACAATTAAGCCATTAAAAAATTAAAAAAAGAGTAAGGCTAATTTGGCCTATCCAAATTTTTACAAAAACATTCACACTTTTAAGTTAGTAGAGATAGAGAAGATAGAGATAGAGATAGAGATAGAGATAGAGATAGATAGATATATATATATAAATATAGATATAGGTAGATATAGATATATTTATTGGTTATTAATTAACAATACAAGATATGATGTGTAAGAGTTTTTTAGGTAGTTCATTTTTTTAATTAAAATATAAATTAAGATGTGTATTAGTGTATTATCATTTTTCATTAAAAATACTAGTACGTAACCCGTGCGATGCACAGGATGTAAAATTTGGAAGAATAATATAACCTCACGTGCATTAGGATCGAAATTGAAATCATTAAAATACATAGGAACATTGGTGAATCATTAAAAGTTCGGTAACCATCATATATTATTACAAACCTCCTTGTACACAACATTATGAGTTTGATTATTTGGTAACTCCTCATTATCACAAACTAATATTTTCAAAAGAGACAAATCCTAAAAATCAAACTAATATTTTTGGTGAACAAACTAATATTTTAGGATTGGTGAACAAACTAATATTTTAGGATTGGTTATATGAATAAGGCTACCTGTTTTTGGTGTTCTTTTCATTTATTTTCATTCAAACAATCCGATGACTTGTATAATAAAATCCGAATCTTAAGCCGAAATATTTAAAAAAAAGAGTTTTTAAAAATTGAAAATCAAGGCAATCAGTTCAGATTAATTAAAGGTCAAAGAATATCCGCTCCTTGAAATAAAGACGTGTGCTATCATTAACCAAATATCCGGTTATTAATATAGAGTGGTTACCAAAAAATAGAACGCGATAAGGACGCTTCATGGAAATATCAATGGGATAAGGTCATAACAGATCGCTATACATTTTAACGATAAAAGCTCGGATGGAATGATTTATGATAATTATGTCGTAATTAATGAATTAATTAGATGTGTGATAAGGACATAATTAATGAGAAGTGTGAAAATGACATAATTAATGAGAAGTGTGAAAAGGACAAAAACTTACCAGTTTTGGAAAATATTTAATGCAAATCCGACATTGACCATAATTTGACCTACTATTTTGGATAAATGTTAATTCTTATTATATAAGTATAGATGTCAAACTTAAAGTTTTTAGGTAGTTCATTTTTTTTACAAGAACCCTTGTCCTTTTATAATAAAAAATAAAATAAGATGTATATTAGTGTATTACTAATTTGCCATTAAAAAAATATCAAAGTAAAAATTTTTAGGTAGTTTATTTTTTTGACAAGAACACTCGTACTTTTATAATAGTATAGATATAGATAGATAGAGAAACAAATCCACCTTTGTTAAGTTGTTATAAAAGTTCATTTTATGAACTTATTATGTGATAGATTCCATATTCCTGCAGCAGTTCTTGTGTTTCAACCAATTGAATGCTTGGATTTAAAAGACTGGTCTCATTGTATTAGAACCGTAAACAGGAAATAAATCTATAATACATTACATTCCAGTGTTGAAAGGAAGTACTATTCTTGCTCCAATAGTGCAGTTACAAATTGATGCCAGACTGCCAGTAAACAAATGCTTTAAAAATCTTTGATGTTCACTGGACAATGCTTAGAGGGTTCGGGCAGCGTATAACTAGGATTAATGCCGGATTTCAAAGCATTGGCAGACACAAGACAAAACCCAAGTCCTGGTTGCCGGTTGGATATGTATATATTAATTTGCCTTACACTCGATGTGTTGAAACTTGAGATTAAGAAGAAAAAAAAAGTTCCCTTTAACAGCAAAAATCATCATCTATGGCATTAATCCAGATGAGTGCAAGTATATGTAGTAATTTTCTGTACAAAACTCGAACCATATCCAGATCTACTTCTTCCATCTTGCTTAATCATTCAAATCAAAATTTCAAATCACTTCAATCTCAAACCACTGGAAATCGTCTCTTCACCCATCATCAAAAGGTACAAAATGCCCCAATCCAAGAAACCCAGGAATCAGCAAACCCTAGAAAACAATTCGATTTCAAATCCTATATGCTCCAAAAGATCAGAATAATAAACCGGGCCTTAGATGCCGCAGTTCCCATTCAGAACCCCATCAAAATCCATGAAGCCATGAGTTACTCCCTCCTCTCCGGCGGCAAACGCATCTGCCCGATCGTCTGCCTTGCCGCCTGCCACCTCGTCGGCGGTGATGAGTCGGCCGCGATGCCCACGGCCTGCGCTCTCGAGATGATCCACGCCATGTCCCTGATCCACGACGACCTGCCCAGCATGGACAACGACGATCTACGGCGAGGGAAGCCCTCCAGCCACGTGGTCTACGGCGAAAACGTCGCCGTCCTGGCCGGATCTGCGCTCCTCGCCCGCGCGTTCGAGCACATCGCCGCCGCGACGCTCGCCGCGACGCCTGGGAGAATCGTCCGCGTCGTTGGCGAGGTGGCGCGCCTGGTCGGGCCGGAGGGCGTGGCCAGCGGTCAGGCCGTAGATCTAAGGAGCGGGGGCGCCGCCGTCCGGCTGGAGCGTCTGGAATACATCCACTTGCACAAGACGGCGGCGGCAGTGGAGGCGGCGGCGGTGGCGGGGGCGGTGCTGGGTGGCGCTCGGGAGGAGGAGATCGAGAGGCTGCGGAGATACTCGAGGTGCGCGGGGCTGATGTTTCAGGTGGTGGACGACGTCCTCGACGTGACGGGGAGGTCGGAGGAATTGGGGAAAACTTCCGGCAAGGATTTGGCGGCGGGAAAAGCGACTTATCCGAAGCTGATCGGGATCGAGAAGTCGGTGGAGTACGCTCAGAGATTGAAGGTGGAGGCGCAAGAGCAGCTGATTGGGTTTGATGTGGATAGAGCTGCTCCGCTCTTTGCTTTGGCTGATTATATTGCTAATAGGGAAAAGCAATTGGCCTTCATTATCTATTTAGGGCTCGTTCACTTTAAGAGTTAGGGATAATACTATCTCTTATTTTTTTTAAATATCATTTTAGTTTTATTAATCATTAACTAAATAAATGACATTTTAAATTTTTTGTACATATTTTTTTATTATTCTCTTATTTAACTAATAATTACACTACTCAAATTCACTTTTCATTTTTTCTTAAAACATCCATCTCTAATCTCTATCTTCATTAATGAGAGTTATTATTATCAAAAAAATATTTTTAATTATTATGCAACTTCTCAAAACGACATTTATTAAAAATAAGAGGGAATATTAAATAATCTGGTTCTATTCATGTTAAATTGCATATGTTTACGTTGGCTTTTTTAAGTACATCTCTAATGTATATTGTCTATTTGGAGATGTGTAAAATAGAAATAAAATTATAAAATTTTGTCTCCAATGATAAATGTCAACTCCAGTATAATTTGATATCTGTAAGAATATAATTAATAGGACATGAAAGATGTATTTAATAAATAATATAATATTTAATGGAGGATGTTTAGAAGTGCTTTTATATCTAAAAAGACTTCTAGACATTTTCAATGACACATAAAATTTAGGCGAAAATACACATACACGTGTAAATCAAGCAGCATGCGCCAATTAACGAGATTTTAAAGTTAAACGCAGATTTGTTGCTACATAAAACTTAATTACCCAAAATTACGAAGCTACAACAGAAGGAAGAAAATCTGTGGAAATCAACTCAATCTACCCCCAAAAATCAGCTCGCGAGAAACTCACTAAAAAGGAAATTGTTGGAACAATCCAAAACAGAAAAACTCACCTTTCGATCTTATGGAAATGTGGAACACTTTCGATCTCGAGCTCGAGCTCGCGAACACTTTCGAGTATGGAATTTTCTGAATCTCGAGCTCGCGAACACTTTCGATCTGGGAGATTGAAGGTATATTTCGAATATTTTCCGTCTAATTTGAAGTAGCCAATGCTATTTTCATTGAACAGAAGCTTAATTTTCAACAATGGCGGCTTGGGTGTATTTTTTTTTTTTTTAACCAATCCATTTTTTGTAGTATTTATTGAGGTATTTTTGTGGTAATCTGCAGCAATATGTCGAAAATTATGGTGTTTTTGCACTACAATGGAGAGTGGTGTAACAACACTTACATTGATTTTGAAGTTGGGGGAATATCTATGAATCAGAGTTGTTCTTTCGGTGATTTCACCAAGCAAGTTGCAGATTTACTGAAGATAAACCACATGGAATCAAGGTGGAGTTTTAAGTATCAGGTACGAGATGGATATCCAGCCATTAAAATTGATGATGATCAAAGCCTTGGATTCTACATGGATTTGAAGTCGAGGGAGGTTGATTACACTAAGTTTCCAGTATGTGTGATTAAGGAACAAAAAAATACTTTGATTCCAGTTCCACTCCTCATCAATGCCGATCACAGCGAAGTTGCAGGGAATGAGGGCATTGTTGCTGCTTTGGACTTTGATCAATTTGACTATGAAGGTTCAAAGTATATGAATTTTATGGATTTTGCAAGAGAAGCTGCCGAAGCCATGTCGTTAGCTGCATCAAGTGTTGAACAACAACAGACCACATACGGAGCTGTTGATACGACATCAGGTAATGTGGTCGAAGTGATGCACAATCCAGCAATTGGACATTCATTTTCCAGCAAAACTAGTCTGCAGAAAATGCTTGCGTTATATGCAATCAAGCACCAGTTCCAATTCAAGGTACAAAAATCGTGTCCTAAACAGTACTTCGTAAAGTGTGTATGGGATGGGTGCAATTGGTTCATTAAATCATCTCGAGTAGGACGGTCGAGTATGTTCAAAATCAGGGAAATGGTGAAAGATCACAACTGTCCATTTGAGGTCAGAACAAACAACCAACGACAAGCTACGTCAACACTTGTTAGTGAATGCATAAAGGGGAAATTCACAAACGTGACAACAAAATACAACGCTGCAGAAATTATACACGATATGAAGTTGACATATGGCATCGATTTATCATACAAAAAGGCATGGAGATCAAAGCGCAAGGCTCTAGACGAGGTACAGGGAAAACCGGATGAATCATACGAATACATTCATGAGTACCTCCAAAAGCTCTGTCACTCGAATCCCGGAAGCATTGTGAATCTCTGTACTACTGAAGATAAACATTTCGTGTACCTGTTCATGTGTCTAAATGCTTCGATCAAGGGCTGGCCACATTGTAGGCCTATCATTGTTGTTGATGGCACGTTTCTAAAGTCTACATATGGAGGAGTTTTACTCACAGCGTGTACGCAAGATGCAAATTCGCACGTACTCCCACTTGCTTTCTGCATCGTGGACTCGGAAAACAATGAGTCATACTCTTGGTTTTTCAGCAAGTTGAAATCTGCCCTACCTGAGAGAGAGGGATTATGCATTGTCTCAGATGCTCATGAAAGCATCAAATACGCCGTATCAAAGGTAACTATGAAAACAACAGTATATTTCTTCTTTTTATGGATGACCTGCAAGATAAGTGTCGACTTTTGAATGATTATGTTCTGTACTTTATAAAATGTAGGTATATCCAGAAGCTTCGCATTGCTTGTGCACTTACCACCTCGCCAACAATCTGAGGAATAACTATAGAATAGCAACAACGGAAGTTAAGCATGCATTTATTTCAGCCTCTAGAGCATATACAAAGGAAGAGTTCAACAGGTATATGCTGGAACTGAAGAAGTTGGATCCAAGGGTACCAACACATCTTGAAAAAGTAGGTTTCCACAAATGGGCTCGTATCCACTGCCAAGAAAATAGATTCTTCACAATGACGTCAAACGCAGCAGAAACTATAAACTCGGCTACGAAAGTGGTGCGTGAATTACCTATAACAACGTTGCTTGAATCTTTGAGATCAATACAGCAAAAATGGAACGTGGCAAATCGAGATGAGGCAAAGTGCATGTTTACTATTCTGACAAAAAAAGCAAACAGTATCCTTGAAGAAAATTACAAAGTGGCTTCCTGTTTGTTTGTAAGTTTATTTTATGTTTATATTGTAATAATTTAATAGAATAAATAATCTGTATGAAACTGAATTTGTGAATGAAAAGCAATTTGTGTATATGTTGACAGGTCCAGAAGGCGAGCGACCAAGTTTATAAGGTGTATAACGACGTGTATTCACATGTTGTAAATTTGGATGCCAAGACATGCACTTGCAATCGGTTTCAAATGGACGAGCTACCATGTCCACATGCCATACGCGTCATTCGGTCTTTACATATTGATCCAGTGCCATTTTGCTCTGATTATTACAGGACGACTAACTTTTTGGAGACGTATGGTGAAGTAGTTTATCCTATCGAAGGTCCGCAAACATTTGATGCTGTGGACAATAAAAAACAGAGACAAGTGCAACCACCTATAGGCAAAGCGAAATCGGGGCGTCGGCGAAAACAACGATACAAGTCTCCATTTGAGGCTCTTAAAAAGAACAAGTGCGGAAAATGCGACGAGAGGGGCCATAATGTAAAGACCTGTCCAAATCCTCCGAAGATCAGAGTAGATAACCATTGATGACACTTGTTGAAGTTGCAGGATTTTTTTGTCAATTATTTTCAAAGTTGATGCTCTGTTGATCTAATTTGGTGCTATGTTGGGGACTACCAGTTTACATGAGTTTTATGTTCTGGACATAACAATTTTTTTTTTTTTTTTTCCTAATATGAGTAAATATATATGATTCTATTTTAGTGTCAACAAAGAATATTTTTTGAGTGCGTGAGTTAATATATTGGTTTTTATATAGATTGCTATTGGTCCTTGAAATTGTGTTGTATTGGTGGTATCGATTTTTGAACAACATTTAGAGATTAGAATGTGTTTGATGATAGTGTAGTTTGTGAATGAATTTATATGTAATTTAATAGTTAAGAAAATGTTTAGATATCCAAAGAAAACTGAGAAAATACAAAAAGTAAACACCAAATGGATACATTATAAATTAAAAACAATTAAACTTGCTAAAAATATTGTGTATTAAAACAACTACTAAAAATAAGTCAGTTATTCATATTAAAACCATCAACTTTTTCACAATTATAATATAGTTTAGAAATTCCATAAATAAACACATAAATTACACAAGTTCATTGGTACCTGATAGTCAATGGTAGACATGAAAAACACTACAAGTAAAATACATAAATATGTTACTCAGTAAAATATACTATAAGTAAAATACAGAAATACCACAAGTATTCCTTGAACAAACATAAGAATTGGAGAAAAATGAACCCGATAACATACAATCATTCAAAACATGTCCAACATATTCCATAACACACCATGCCCAAAAGAAGAAACACCAGAGTTTAGTTTGTCTACATAGTCTGACAAAAAATACATGATAGAACAACAAATGTTAACCAAACTCATTAAACATCAAATTCAGATGCTACTTAGTATAGGGAAGTACTAGCATACTTCGATAATTTGCCGGCAACAGACCAGGCGAATCATCATCACTCTCGGAATCTTTTTCCTGCTTCATTTTTCCATGTGTGTACAATAGGTATGAAAACCTTGACCGCTCGATATCAACGTCAAACGTAGCAGCATTGATGGGCTCATTAGAAACAATATACTCCGCAAACGAAGCAACGAATACGCCACAATCACTGGCAAGTATGAAAAACAAAAAATACAGAATATCAAAGTTATAAATTATATTAAAATACAACTTACCAGAAAAGCTGTTGGGGCAAATCTTCCACGAAAATGACATCAAGAGGATCATTCTCTGCCTTTCCCGAGTATGGACCAATGTTTTTTTTTATGTCAGCACGTCTAGAGACAAAATTTACCATAGCAAGAAATATGGGGATCAATATGGAATATCGCTTGACACTCTCTAGCACAACCTGGTCAAAATCAGTCGATCGATAGGAGTTATAAATCATCAACTTTCTAGTTGCGAACGACAACCTCCCTAATATCCAATGGCCAACACCTTCCAACTCAACATGAATCGGAAAGAGTACGTAATCAACATCGAGCCATGACTCCCCGCACAGAATTTTGAATCCAAACATGTAGTCGACGATGACACTATCGATCGTACAAATCCGGGGGTCACATGAGTTAACAATGTATAAAGAATATAGTGATTTCATCTGCTGGTCGAAAAAATTATCAGTGGTAGTAAATTTCTGAGAAGGTGGTTCAAGAGCATACAATCCAATCTTTCGGATGTAGTAGAACAAAACATCAATATGCTGAAAAAAAAAATATTTAAAAATTAGAACTCAAAAAAAGGAAAAAGGATGAAGACAAACACATTTAAAATGATACTTACACTACCATCAAGGAAACAATTGGATTCATACAAGGTGAAGAACCAATTCTTATCCGAAACCACGTCAACATTAAAATCAAATGGTGGGCTTAAGGTTGTGTTCTTCTTATCATAGTACACGAACCTTTCAGAAGATGAATTAAATATTAAATAAGAAGAATGAACAAATGACGGAATGTAATAAAAACAACAAAATGAAAGTACATACCCTTCCTTTTTCTTACGCCGATTCTTAAGTTTACCCACTTTCAACCACTCAAAGAAATCCGAAGTTAAATCAAACCGCATCGTGTCCCAAAAATCAGTGTCAAAAGGGCATGACTTACAAATAACTTGTCTTTTTTTTACACGTTTGATTTTCTTAAATGGGATGTCGACCACCGACACAAGATCATCCACATTTTGGTTACCCTGTATACCAATATCAAGACCTCCAATAACACCAGGAGTATCCTTCATTAAAGAAACATAACAGATCAATAGCTATGCATAAAAATAATAAGTTATATACTTCGAGGAAAACATGAGGTTTACTTTACGGCATCGAAAGGTAAGATAAACTGTGAATAAACTTTTTGACTTCAGTTCAAGGAAAAATACACTACAGATAAACCAACAAAAAACCACGGATAACCCCACAATAAACCACAGATAAACCACATATATATATATATGTATAACCACAGATAAACCAACAAAAAACCATAAATAAACCACAAATATATATATATATATAAGTATAACCACAGATAAACCAACAAAAAACCACAGATAAACCACAGATATATATATACGTATAACCACAGATAAACCAACAAAAAACCATAAATAAACCACAGATATATAGATAAGTATAACCACAGATAAACCAACAAAAAACCACAGATAAACCACAGATATATATATACCCACCACAGATAAACCAACAAAAAACCACAGATAAAACACAGATATATATATACGTATAACCGCAGATAAACCAACAAAAAATCACAGATAAACCACATATATATTGAAACATTTTCATGAACAGTTGTAAATATAGAAGTTATATACACAAGAGTAAAGTCATATTACATTTTTGTTGGCAGTTAGCATGCTTTTTAATTTTCCCTCGGTCGTCCTATCAATCTCATCCATCATTTGCGGGGTCAAAACAGGGAAACCATCAACATCGAAATCTACATTATGTTCACCATTCCCTTGTACAAACTGAGAAACATATCAACCAAAATAAAAAAAGGATTACTGATTTTAAATGTAGACTTAGTTGTGATCATAGAAATAAAATCAAATAATTACACTTACATCTTCAGCATCAACTTCCTTGTGGATCCCAACGTTTTCTTGATGACGACTACTTTCTGGAACATCGTTGGGCTTAGCACCTTCTCCATCATTTAATCCCTTAGAAAGTAAACACAGTTAACTTAGATAAAAAATAAATTACGAAAACTCTGATGATACAGAATAAATTTAACTTAGATATGTTATGTTAAGAAGAAAAAATTGTAGATTGAGCATAAACCGTTCGAGAAATATCTTGGTTATCCACATCATGGGGGAGATCTTGTTGTTTACCACTTTCTTCATGCTGATACATAGTTAAGTGAAAATATTAAAAAAAGAAACACATGTATTCCATGTATATATATATGTAAAAGTAAACCAAAAATAGACCAATTATAAACTTACCAGCATTGTTTCTTTAAGACTGAGTATCTCATGCATCACTTTAGTCGAAAAGTCAGTAAACAACTTCTTCAAATCATCCAAATCATTCATAATCTTCACTTGGTTTGAAGACAACTCGTTTAAACGTCCTATAAAAGGAGACTCAGTTGCACCGGGAACAGAGAATGTAGGAGTACTTTGAGATTCATTACGGATGAACTCGTTCCTTTCGACAAAAAAACCGTCCAGCTGAAGGATCGTCTTCTCCGATTCGGTGGGAGTTATATTTTTGAACTGTAGGGATTAATACACATTAAAAAATAAAAGAACTTAAAGCAATGTTATGAAAAGATAACTTAATAGTAAAATATTAAAATAAGCAACTAATAGAAACCTTATCTGATGGCAAGGTCAAGAAAACCCTCTGGATGAGTCGTCTACCACATCTCATGTGTGCCTCCCAATTTAACATCCGGGGCACATTAGGAACTGAAAGACGGGTACATATGACTCCATCTGTGCTATCACACACCTCATAAAACCACACCTGAAGCGATAGAATAAACCCACGTATCCTATAAAGATATACTCTTTTTTCAGTGCCATCTAATTTCTGAAGCAAAGACTCCTTGTTACGAGACGACATCTTTAGATAATCAAGGGTGTAGTCGTACACCTCTTTACCCCACGGATAGTTATCACAATCTTGGCTATCAAGAATATCTAAGAAACACCTATCAAACAAAAGATTATCCTGAGCACCCATGAGAAAATTCGCGAGCAAGTGAAGCTTGGCCAGTTTCACTCCATCATGGTCATTTATCCACGCTCTATTAAGAAATAGACATTTAATAGATTGACGGTTCAAGCCAACATTGGCGAAATATCTGTCAAAAAGACCATCAGGGACGGGGGGATAACAAAGCTTTTTACATAAGCCATTACAATTTAGACCACTTATCACAGCGAACTCCTCAACCCCAAATCTCATGATCTTCCCACCAAAGTCAAACCACATTTCATCCAACCTCGGTTGGTGTACTTCTCGTAATGAAATCAAATTGACAAGTTGATTCTGAATCTTATAATGAGGTAGGTCTATAAATTTACCAAAAGCAGAATTTCTAAACACCTCCAATTGATCGTTGGATAACAAACGCTTAATGTCAGCAATAGGTGTGGTAGAACGACTGTTATCATTGCTGTTGATTATCTTCACGACCAATGCTCTTGAGTTTGGAAAAAGCAATTCCCAATCCTAATGAAAACAACAAACAATTGATACCAACAATAGCAGTAAAACATATAGAATAGATCTAACGAGTTTATACAGACATGAACATTAGTACCAACAATGGCATTATTTGCTTGTCAACATAGATAGCAACAATTTTTGTGAGGATCAACAACTAAAACAATTAAAAAAAAATTGGACAAAATTAAAGATAAATTATATGAACACTGATACTAGGAAAAATACTTCTAAAGGAAAAGAATACCTTGTGTTCTCTTTGGTGTTTATTCCTGGCATCTTCATCTTCAAACTCGGAACAACTCGATTTATGCCTATGTGTGTTGCCCTTGGACCTCCTCAGTACTGATTTGTTAGCCTCAGAGCTATCCTCACTTTCTTCTTCATCCACAGGAACACATTGTTCAACTTCGAAATCAGAATCGATGTCATCTGGATATTTAACCTTCCTCTTCCCATTAGCATCTCCGTTTCGCTCCATAGCATTCTTCTGAGAAAATCGCTTCTTCTGAGCACTGGAACGAGTTATCGGACATCTGACATGCGAGTGTTCTCCAACACCTTTGGTCTGCACATTCTTCTTGCCAAACTGAATTTTCTTTTGAACAAGCCTCCGACGGCGCTGAACTTCAACTTTCCGATGATTTTGCTCCAGATTTCCTTCACCTTCAGATGAAGTATCAGAGACATAATTTTCATCCTCAACTTTCGCCATTAATTCATCTGCACAAATTGATTTTTGGATTTTACTTTGAACAAATTAGGGAAGAATGAAGAAAAATGGTGAGCATCGACATCAATTGAGATCTGCAATTTTTGATATGCGTGTGGGCAGGAAATGTGTTTGAGAAGAGCCGAATCTCGAAAAATCTTGAGATACGGTTTTATTCACTTTAATTAGCACTAATTAATCAGATTCCTAAAGTGGAATTGTACGTGTACTAATTTCGTATTTTCCGTCTAGAGAAAAGTTTAATTGCGAAGATTTTTTGATTCTCGTTAAAAGGGCAAAATAAAAATGTTTGTACGTCTCCGGGGTAATTTTTTCTAAAATTTACTAGGTCACATAACAATAAAAAATAGCAATCCGTGGACCATTGGAGATGCTCTAAGTACTACTGTCTGAAGCCAAGCCCACTAATATGTCCAGTGTTTCCTTCATTGGATATTAAGTGTATTTCCAATACTATAATGTTAATAAAATGTTATATAAAAAGTTGTTATATGAATGTTTATAAATATATTTGCGATGTAAAAGGTCAATATGAGCATGTGGTTTAAAATCATTTGTATTTACAATTACCTAACATAACTACGTTACCTATATTAAAATCTTTTAGCATATTTGTAAATAATAACTATTGCAAATAAAATTAAATAAACAAAGTGAAAAATCTAGAAAAATTAATAAATAGAAACTATGGAATCCGATCACTATGTAAAAAACTTGAGCAAATATAACGATATTAGATGTCACTAACACATTGAACATATATTAAATTCAAAATTACAAAAAATAGTATTAGATTGTAAATTACAAAACAAAAAAAATATATATTTGGAGATGCGGGGTTTCAATCCCCGAATGTCATACTCAAATCCAAATGATAATACCGTTGAGCTACATCCCCCTTTGTTTTATACTAAACAATTTTTTTCCTATATGAATGTTGAACATAAATTTAATATAGAAAAATGTGATGAAATATTTTAAAAAATAAAGTTTTAAAAAATCAATCACTTTTTTAAGTCTTCGACATTGTTTTTATTTTGCACTAAAATGTATTTTTAGTGCATTTATATTAATTTGCAGTAATAATTTTTCAAAATAAAATAAAATGTTACATAAAAAGTTGTTATATGAATGTTTATAAATATATTTGCGATGTAAAATGTCAATATGAGCATGTGATTTTACAATCATTTATATTTACAATTACCTAACATAACTACGTTACCTATATTAAAATCTTTTAGCATATTTGTAAATAATAAGTATTGCAAATAAAATTAAATAAACAAAGTGAAAAATCTAGAAAAATTAATAAATAGAAAAGATGGAATCCGATCACTATATGAAAAACTTGAGCAAATATAACGATATTAGATGTCACTAACACATTGAACATATATTAAATTCAAAATTACAAAAAATAGTATTAGATTGTAAATTACAAATATATATATATATATATATATATATATATATATATATATATATATTTGGAGATGCGGGTTTCGATCCCCGAATGTTATAATCAAAGCCCGATGATAATACTGTTGAGCTACATCTCCCTTTGTTTTAATACCAACCGATTTTTTTTCCTATATGAATGTTGAACATAAATTTAATATAAAAAAATGTGGTGAAAGATTTTAAAAAATAAAGTTTTAAAAAACAACATTCATTTTTTTAAGTCTTCGACATTGTTTTTAGTTTGAACAAAAATGTAGTTTTGGTGCATTTATATTAATTTGCAATAATAATTTTTCAAAATAAAATAAAATGTTATATAAAAAACTGTTATATGCATATATATATAAATATATTTATGATGTGAAATGTCAATATGAGCATGTGATTTTAAAATCATTTATATTTACAATTACCTAACATATTACGATACCTATATTAAAATCATTTAGCATATTTGTAAATAATAAGTATTGCAAATAAAATAATATAAACAAAGTGAAAAATCTGGAAAAAGTAATAAATAGAAAAGATGGAGTCCGATCACTATGTGAAAAACTTGAGTAAATATAACGATATTAGATATCACTAACACATTGAACATATTAAATTCAAATTTACAAAAACTAGTATTAGTTTTTAAATTACAAAAAAATTATATATATTTAGAGATGAGTGGTTTCGATCCCCGAATGTTATAATCAAAGCCCGATGATAATACCGTTGAGCTACATCTCCCTTTGTTTTAATACCAACCGATTTTTTCCTATATGAATGTTGAACATAAATTTAATATAAAAAAATGTGATGAAAGATGATGAAAGATTGTAAAAAATATAGTTTTTAAAAAAAATCACTTTTTTAAGTCTTCGACATTGTTTTTATTTTTAACTAAAATGTATTTTTAGTGCATTTATATTAATTTGCAGTAATAATTTTTCAAAATAAAATAAAATGTTATATAAAAAATTGTTATATGCATATATATAAATATATTTACAATGTGAAATGTCAATATGAGCATGTGATTTTAAAATCATTTATATTTACAATTACCTAACATATCCACGATACCTATTTTAAAATCATTTCGCATACATGTAAATAAGTATTGCAAATAAAATTAAATAAACAAATTGAAAAATCTGGAAAAAGTAATAAATAGAAAAGATGGAATCCGATCACTATCTGAAAAACGTTGAGCAAATATAACGATATTAGATTTCACTTACACATTGAATATATATTAAATTCAAAATTTCAAAAAAAAAATTATTAGTTTGTAAATTACAAAAATAAAATGTGCGGGGTTTCAATCCCCGAATGTCATACTCAAAGCCAAATGATAATACCGTTGAGCTACATCCCCCTTTGTTTTAAACTAAACGATCTTTTTCCTATATGAATGTTGAACATAAATTTAATATAAAAAAATGTGATGAAATATTTTAAAAAATAAAGTTTTAAAAAATCAATCACTTTTTTAAGTCTTCGACATTGTTTTTATTTTGCACTAAAATGTATTTTTAGTGCATTTATATTAATTTGCAGTAATATTTTTTCAAAATAAAATAAAATGTTATATAAAAAGTTGTTATTTAAATGTTTATAAATATATTTGCGATGTAAAATGTCAATATGAGCATGTGGTTTTAAAATAATTTATATTTACAATTACCTAACATAACTACGTTACCTATATTAAAATCATTTAGCATATTTGTAAATAATAACTATTGCAAATAAAATTAAATAAACAAAGTGAAAAATCTAGAAAAATTAATAAAAAGAAAAGATGGAATCCGATCACTATGTGAAAAACTTGAGCAAATACAACGATATAGATGTCACTAACACATTGAACATATATTAAATTCAAAATTAAAAAAAATAGTATTAGATTGTAAATTACAAAAAAAAAAAATATATATATATTTGGTGATGCGGGTTTCGATCCCCAAATGTTATAATCAAAGCCCGATGATAATACTGTTCTGCTACATCTCCCTTTGTTTTAATACCAACCGATTTTTTTCCTGTATGAATGTTGAACATAAATTTAATATAAAAAAATGTGGTGAAAGATTTTAAAAAATAAAGTTTTAAAAAAAACATTCACTTTTTTAAGTCTTCGACATTGTTTTTATTTTGAACTAAAATGTAGTTTTAGTGCATTTATATTAATTTGCAGTAATACTTTTTCAAAACAGAATAAAATGTTATATAAAAAACTGTTATATGCATATATATCTAAATATATTTACAATGTGAAATGTCAATATGAGCATGTGATTTTAAAATCATTTATACTTACAATTACCTAACATGTCCACGATACCTATATTAAAATCATTTAGCATACTTGTAAATAAGTATTGCAAATAAAATTAAACAAACAAAGTGAAAAATCTGGAAAAAGTAATAAATAGAAAAGATGAATCCGATCATTATGTGAAAAAACTTGAGCAAATATAACGATACTAGATTTCACTTTGATGGGTCTACTCCCAGATCCGAAGTAAACCGGTGGTTGTGAGCTCAGATCTGCTTGAACCGCTTCAGAACCGTTGCTAGACCGCGAGAGTACCTGCAAAAACTCAACGCCGGAGGTGTTTCCGGCGTAGAGCCTCCGACGCTCAAGTCAGTATGTGAGTGATGAAGAGAGGCTGCGCAGCAGGTTTGGGGGAGTGTGGGAATGAATGAGAGTTAGGGTTTGGGTTACCTCGCCTCCTTTATATAGGAGTGAATACTTACTTGAAGTGCCCAAAATGCCCAAGTCGGTGGACCTAGAAGGTCCAAAATGCCCCTGTCGATTCGTCTCCCCTTTGTTGCTGAGTCATCGCAAGATTCCTTCTTATCCTGTGTAATGTGTAGAGCTTTGGACAGGTTGCAAGTGTAGTGAATCGTCTTCACTGCTTTGGTCCTCGAGATGTACAGAGTCGACCTTGAGAGTTAAGAGGTCGACTTATGAGTATGTATGATTTCGGAGGTTACGCTTGGTTTAACTCTGTGGTGAAGTCGTCTCCAGGGTCTTCATAGTGGAGTCGACTAATGGAAGTCGACTTAAGATACTGGGATGGCCAGGCGTTATGCTCCTGCTGTCCTTCTTCCGTTGATGTCGACTACTAAAGGTCGATGGACTAAAGTCGACTTATGAGAGTCGACTAGACCGATTTCTGCCTCTTCTTGGTTGCTCTTGGTAGAATCGTCTTTAGGGAAGTCGATTTGAGTATGTCGACTGAGTCATGTCGATGTACGAGTTGTTCCCATAGTTCCTCGGTCGGGTGAGGAGCCTCTAAACCGGATTATCCTTATATGGCTATATCATCTATTTCCCCCCAAAAATTACTCTAAGCAGTCGACTGTTTAAGAGTAAATTTGGTAATCGACTTCTTTTATTTATTATACTCGTTCTTCGTTCCTCGACATCAAAGTTCTACCCTTGCGGCTGATACTGTAGTGGTGTCATCATTGTCTTCTGGATAATTCTGACAACCTGACACCTTTTCAAATTTTGAATT